TGCTCTCTGTTGAGGGTCCCTTTGGGCCCCTTGGGTGTGTTTTGGCATGATGGAAGGCATCATGGCAAAAGTATATGCAGGTGGTGAGAAAAGTAGTCCGTGGAAGGATACAGGTCAGCCGTGCTCTCTATATCTCTATAACAGCCATCTCCAGTGCTGAAGTGCCAGGAGACTTCATCTCCTCTCACCATGGCCACTTTGGAGGCAGTGTTTCCAACACGTGAACCTTGGGGATCTCATTCAAACCATATGGAAGCTGAAACAGATGACTCCAAAGACTACCGTGTGAATTCCCATGTACCAGTGGGATGTTGTACATAATTTCATTAGAACACTTGGTAGCAAGCATTGTGTCTTTGAGTCTTCATACTTACTTTTCCTGTATGGAGAATAATGTGAGGAGGAACTGAGGCTCAGAAAACCTGTCACTTGGCCAAGGTCACAGACATGTGGTTGGCCAACCTGTGACTCCAGCCCTATAATGTCAGGACACAAACTCAGCGTCTTTCAGGCTCAAGACTGGCCATTTCTGAAATAGTTCTGCAAACATTTTAGCCAAGGCTAAAATGAAACAAAGCCCACACACATATGACTGTGTATTTTACTATCATTTCTAATGCAGTTTAGAAGATGATTAACCGCTATACAAATGCAGCTACTTACATTTAAAGTAATTGACTTTACACATGTGTGCCCTCTATCACATTGTCCAATATTTTAGGTGTTCGATAGCCACAGGTGGCAAATGGCTGCCCTGCTGAATGGCAAAACTATAGAGCTCTTCTGTCGTTGTCCAAAGTTTTATTGCAGAGTGCTTGGGCTAGAGCTGTCTCACACAAGACCAAAATCTCTTTGTTTAGAGTTCACTCAAGCTCTAAATAATCTCTCGTTAGGATTTTACCTGGCTCTAGATATATCTGTGAGTACCTGCATTGTCTAACCCAGTAGCCATTAGTCACCAGAGTCTGCTGAGCCCTGGAAATATGACCGGGCTGACTGAAACTACTCCAGAAGTGAAAGGTACACACTAGATTCCAAAGCTTTGCTATCCGTAAAGAACGTAACAGACAACATTAATAATTTTACACTGAGCATACGTTGAAATATTTCTTTGGATATGTTGGGTTAAAAAATGCACTGTTGAAATAAATGGCCTGTGTTCTTTTATAAAAATATTATTTAATGTTGCTACAAGAGTATTTTCAATTATATCCGTGGCTTGCACCATATTTCCTCTGGACAGTCTGCCATAGATCCCTGCACTCGTCTTTGAATGGGGAGTGAGTGCGTGGACACAGCACATGTGTGCAGGGGGGGTCTAGGTGTAGAGGGGGGAGGTATATGTGTGTGTGTGTGTGTGTGTGTGTGTGTGTGTGTAGGAAGCCAGGGTTGGACAATGGATATCTTACTCTAACATTCTTTAAGACAAAACTTCTCATTGAACCTGGAGGTTGCTTATTTGGCCAGGGCAACTGGCCAGCATGCTCCAGCCATCTCTGCCTCCCCAGCCCTGGGATTCCATGTGTGGCACCTTTGCCTGGCTTTTGTACGTTGATTCTGGGGGTTCAATCTTAGGAGCCACGCTGTTCGGCAAACACTTTGCTGAGTGAGTCATGTCCTGAGGTCCCACATGAGGGTGCTTCCAGTGAAACAAAACAAAACTTAAAGTTCAATTCCTCTGTCACATTAGCCACCGTTCTGTCACTCCATAGCCACGTGTAGTTAATGGGTGCCATATTGCAAGTCACAGAGGGAAAACATTGCCCTTGTCACAGAAAGTTCTATCAGGCAGTACCAACACAGATTGTAGAAATGGCAAGAGGCACGGAGGTGAATTATGAAGGATGTGGCAGGTTTCCATGGCGCCTAGCCCTGCAGCACATAATCCGCTGTCTCCTGAGTACCTGTCCCTGCTTAGCTTTGTTAGACCTGTTTGTGAACAACTTACTTCTTCATCCCTCTCCCTGCAAGGACTTTGGTGTGTTTATCTCTGCTGCAGCACATCTTCCTGCCCACCCTGCCCACCCCCTGCCATGTGTATGTGTAGCTAGCATGTGTTTTGTATGAGACGGGTATTTAGGAAGCCTCTGTTAGACGGCTGCAGGGGCAGTGGCAATCAAGAGAGTGGAACAATGTGACCGAGCAACAGGGAGACCTGGGAGGCTGGGAGCATGCGATAGGAGAGGGGGGCATATGCCAGACTCCATGGAGACAGGAAGAAGAGCTGCAGAAAGAGAAGAGGACACCAGAGAGACAGGTAACTGTTGACCCAAAATCTTTTCGGTGTGCCCCAAACCCTTGAACCCACCCCACAAGCTCCCTACAAACAGTAATGAGAGAAGAGCCATTCACAGGCTCGGGCAGCAGCTACATAAGAAGTGCAGAATAAACCGCAACTATTATTACATGATACATAAACATGCAAAACCGATGAATGGGAAGAATGAAAATTAAGGGTCTGATGAGGAGGGAGAATGACAAATGGCCTCTCTCTGGGCCAGCTGGTTTGAGTTACATTTTATGGGCAACGTGTGAATTCCGGCGCCCTTGTTGAATTTGCGGCAGACTCACACATTAGTTTTAAGGCTCCCTCTCGAATAGGAACATCATAACGCTTTTTAATTGGTGCTGATAAAAAACGTAGCCTTACTTGTAGGTGCCTGAGAGAAGTGAGTTGTGAAATTGGGTTTTCATTAAACCTAATGACGGAAAATTAAGCATAGTGCGTCTGGCGAAATGGGGTGTGATAAAAAACATCACTTCTGCATTATCGAAGGTTAATAAGGGAATAGGTGAGGTAAGATACATCGGAAAAGGGAGTCCAACCAGTTGAATTAATAAACCTTGGAAATCCCTTGGTTCCAAGTCCTCGTGGCATCATTAGTGCTGGCATCGGCATTATCACAAATGTTGCAGCAATACGAGTTGCTAAATTCCAAATGCATTTATTTTCCATCCCACTGTTGGTTTTGCTGACACTAAGTTTACAGTCTGTCTAGCAATGTGTTTGGGGGGAAATATCCATATTGATAGCCTTTTTCAGTTTGGAAACGTTTGGCGTCTCACAAAGATTTGCCAGGTGCCAACTCCAAGGAAGCCTGCCTCTGCCAAGCAGCTGGTTCCCCATGCAGCCTGCACCCTGTGTCCTTTAGAAAGTTGGGGGCAGGGCATACCTCGGTGGCATCCGCATAATGGTGTTTAGCTGGGAAATAAGAGCTCTGGCGTTTGATTTGATGTCACCTCCATCTCCAGTCCCATGACACCACCACAGGAGCGCTACTGGAAGGATGCTTCCAATGCAAAAGGATGCTTCCAATGCAAAAGGATGCTTCCAATGCAAAAGGATGCTTCCAATGCATGCCAGCTGGGACACCTACGGCCAGGAGTGTGAGTCTTTAAAATGTGGGATTCCTCTGCAGAACCCTCAACGGTGGGTGTCACACTGGTTCTAAGAGTCCTCACATTCTCAGCTCTTCTGGATCTGCCTCCATTTATCTGCCACAGCACGGTCCCACCGTTCTTCTTTATGCCAGCCTCTCTGCTCTTAAACGTGTCTCCATCTCTCAGGCTCAGGCAGCTCTAAGTATTTTCTCTTCTCGACCATCAAGCTTTGAGTGTAGACTCTTTTTTTTTTCCTACTTTGCCACTGTCTAAAAAAAAAAATCCTTGGATGAAATGGGGTCTCATAAGTCTAATGCATAATCAAAAGAATGTAACGTTAGCAGGGACTCAACCCCACTACGTGCCAGGAGTTACATTCAATCAGTGCTATTAAAGATGTATCAAGCTATTGCCAAATCGTGGGAGAAAAAGTGGGAAATATTCTCAGCGCAGCCAGGAAGAGTTTTTAGCATCTCCATGTAACCCTTCTTTCCTGTGTGTGAACTTGAATCCTTGATGTCTGTCTGTTAGATAATTTAGCTAATTCTCAAAGGCCGACTCTGTCTTGTCTACTCATTGCATTGAAGCAGAATATGCTGAGACCATAGGCGACACACAGATACTTCAGCTCCTGGTGAGGTGTGGCCCAGTCAGTGTCTCAAGCTCAGGCTAATCAAAGCCATCGCTTGTCCCCCCTGGAGATGGTAACAAGTGGGGTCAGACGGAAGGGACCCCGACTCAATACAGATGAGCACGTGAGGGAAACCAAGGCTCTCATCCCAGAACTGAGGGGGTTCCCTAGACATTATACTTTCAATACTAAAGCTGAAGAGGGGTTAGGTTAAGTGTGGCCAGTTGGTCACTCTGCAGGCCGCACATGTCTCCCCAGTCTTGTGAGGAACTGACTTTGATGTTGGACTGGATTGTGCTCTCCCGGAGAACCTGTCTGACGGATTATTGTGACAGGAAAGACAGGCTGAGGGGGACATGGCTTTCAAAAAGACAAGTTGCAGAAAGCTCTGGAATATATACTAAGTCTCTCAGGAGATGAACATGGCATTGGCTTCATGGATGTCTGCGTGGGGGCCTCAGAGTCTGAGAACATCTGGATGTGCCCATCAACTGCCACATCCGGCAGGTCTTATCTCTTGTATGGTACAAACAAAATGGCCCCAGGGCAGAGACTGTCAGAGTATTTCAGAGAATGTGAACATGCCAAGCCTAGATGATTCTGGGAAGGAGAAACTGTTTCCAGAGTGACCAGACAACAGAAAGTATTTAAAGGAGCTCCGTAGAGATTTCTGTGAGGGGAAGGCATAGCTACACACACACACACACACA